CGAGGTTGATTGTAAATAATTGCTCATGAAGTTGGATGTATTGATGGATTCGTGAATAGTATATATTATTTTTGGGGAGGAAATGCTTGGGAACTATCTTGTAGCATGATAATACTTTTTGTCTTTGTACATGTTGGGCAATTAAAAGGTCTTATGCACTTTTGGTGATGTGGTGATGTGATGTAAGGATTACACAGGAATTGTGGTGTAAAGGTGCTATAGCGTTTGAGGTGCACCCTCTTGGCGGGGTTTTGCCTTGCCAAGATTGGGTCGTTACACTTTTGGGAAGGAATATTGGTTATAACCTATTTGTCAATAGAATGCCGAAACTGTGGAATTTACAAGCAGGCTTTGAAACTTTGGATATTGGAAATAGATTCTTCATAGTAAAATTTGAAATGATGGAGGACTACTCTAAGGTTTTCACAGGGGGACCATAGATCATGTTGGATCGATACGTAACAATCCGTAAATAGCAACCTAATTTTAAATCTGACGAGGCGGAGGCGGAGGTGGAGGCAGAGGCGGACACAACCGCAATCTGGGTCAAGTTCCCAAACCTCCCTTTTGAGTATTATGATGAAAAGGTTCTTTACCATATCTCCAAGGTGCTTAGTAATCCTTTAAAGGTTGACATTAATACTGCCATGGCAGCACAAGGAAAATACGTAAGGGTTTGAGTTGAAATAGACCTCCGTAAACCGCTTATTCCGCACCTCACTATTGGGCGATATCATTATGTGGTGGAATATGAACATTTACATACTCTGTGCTTTGCATGTGGCTGAGTTGGTCACCAGAAAGACAAGTGCCCTAAATTTTCGATGATACAACCGGAGAAAATAAAACAAAATGAGACCGTTACCAAACCTGGAACTGATACTGGGCCAACAACATCAAGGCCCAATGGACATAAGAATAAGTACATATGCATTGAGGAAGAGACAAATGGATATGGGCCGTGGACCATAACCCAAAGTAAAAGAAAATTTTAACAAGGGAAACATAAACAAAAGGCCCATCTTCAAAAGGGAAACAGATTTGAAGTCCTACAGTTGGACAAAGAACATGGAGAAAGTAGTGAAACCCAAAGAAGAAATGGAGCCTAGAGGACGTATGTGGACCTGGATATGGGCCATAGTACTGATATAAGTCTCACTCCTAATGGCCAGCCTAGGGGATCACCAGAGACACCTCTACAACTTACTCCAGTAATGGATGTGGACCTAGCCAAACCCATGAAAGATCGTGGATAGGATATAGGGCCAGTTGCTCAACATGGGCCAGAAGGAACAGAAGCGACCCATCAGGCCAATCAACCCACTACGCAACAAGCAGCATCGATCATCAACCTAGGTAAAGCTTGTAATCAAGGAAACCCTAACATTTCAAATGTTACTAAGCCTCCCTCTGTCTCCAGAAGCTCAACTGTAACGTTGGTCAGTAAACTCTCACCAAATCGATCGAAAGCCAGAGGAGGTAAACAACCAGAGGCTAGCGAAACACAGATGGAAAGAGCTAATGGAGGAAATTGTAGAGAACATTTTAGTGACAGAGCATCGAGTGGATCAGTTCAAGACTCTACGATTTTTAGAACTCGAGAAAGAAGTATATCACCACGTCGGAATAAATTGGTGGCTAGAAGAAGTAAAGCTTCTGATTCAAACTTTGTAGGAGATAGACTCGCAAAATGTAAGGCATATGTTACTTGTGAAACCAGCGAAAGTAATGGAGTCAGACCAGAACAAAGCGAGAAGCTTACTGGGACTCTCTAAGTCAGCAGATTAGCCAACCTTTCAAATGTCATCAATGGATTTGCTGATATGGAACTGTAGGGGTGCTGGTAATGATCATTTGAGGAATTTAAAGGGTCTTGCAACAGATTCGAAATGCCCTTGTTGTGAGGGTGTGAAGGACATAGATCACTTGTTAAGGCTTTGTCCAAAAGCTATGCAAGTTTGGTGTCAAATATTCAATAAGGATTGGTACCCTTATATGCTACATTTACCTTGGAAAGAATGGATCATTCGGAATGTGAAAAGGAATAACAAGCACCCTCCGTTGTTCCTCATCACAACCTGGATTATTTGGAAAAATCAAAACAAAATGGTTTTTGAAAATAAATCCACAAACATTTATAAGAGTGTGATAACCAAATCTGATTACTCTAAGGAAATCTTTCAAGCTTTCAATTTAGATATCACAACTCCTCTCAAATCTAAAAGTCTAAATGTGTGGTCTCGTCCAAGTACAGGAAAAATTAAGCTCAATACAGATGGTAGTACTCGGTGGAATGGAGGAGGTGGAGGTTTTAGTGGTCTATTCTGGGATGAGAAAGGAACGTGGATTAGCGGCTATTATGAGAGACTTGAGATCAGCACCAGTCTTGAAGCGGAACTTTGGGCTGTCTACAAGGGCCTCACAATTGTACTCCGGCGAGATATGAACCAAGTAATCATAGAAACAGATGCGGAGCAAGTAGTGTAATTGTTGAGTGAAGACCTGGGCAAGAGATGTCCTTTTAGAGACATTGTGGAGAATGCATGCATTATCATGAGAGGCTGTGATTGCTCAATTCAGCACATCCAGAGGAAAGCCAACATATGTGTTGATGCTTTGGCAAAACTAGGAGAAAATCAACAACTAACTGACCTTCTAATTGTTAATACCCCACCAGCGGAAATCCGGCACCTTCTAGTTGCAAATATTATGTACCTCTCTGAGGAGGGAAACAGGGTGTAATTTCTGCTTTTGTTTTTATATTCCGATGTACCCAAAAAAAAAGAAAAAAAAAAGAAAGAAAGGGCTTCTATCAATTCCTAGAATTACATTTTCAATTCCTCTCAATTTGTTAAAAGAATAGATCATCTTGATTTCGCACTTTGAAAGTTACTTTCTGATAGACTCTTTTGCTTTTGGTTTTATTTGTGTATATACTACATTACTAAAAATTATAAAAATAATATTTTTTACGAACGTATCGCAGTCGTATCCGTATCCTAATTTTTCACATTTTGCTGTATCACTGTATCCATATCGTATCGTACCTGTATCCCGTATCTGTTTCCGTGCTTCGTAGAATATGATTAACGAGTATAAATAGCGTCTAATGAGGACAATATCCCACATCGTCTGGGAGGGAGTCCCACTTCCACCTTATAAGCATAACCCCTGTAGACATTGTACACTTTGGGATTGAGGGACGGATTTTGTCATCCCCTCTCACGGTTTTGTTTATTCTCGAGAGAAAAGACTTCATGTAAGACAGAGGGAATTAATACGCTTATAAGCGTGTTGTCATTTTGAAAATGCCTTACCTGCCAGTAGCATTTTATTGGAATGAAGTGATTAAGAAAAATTACGTACGAATGGCACATTCAACAAGTAGATAAGAATCAATTTCGCTTTTATGACAATATTCTTGAGGACCAAACGAACGGTTGAATGGCTTGAGGATTGGATTTGAAGGTACAACTTGAGAGATTGGAATTTGCCTTTGAGATATTAATCCAATCTCATTCTATGTATGATGTTTAAACAAGATGTTGGATTTATGAGAATCAATTACAAATTTTGTAAATTCCATTGTGATTTATGAGAATCAATTAAAAAAAAAAAAAACTATATTCCATTGTGCTCACCGTCTATGTATTCCCAACAGTGACGATAAATTCTTGGATTCTAGTACAATGATTCTTGCATATCAAAAATAGCTAAAAGTCAGAAGAGAGATGAAGATTCATTTACATCAGATATTCCATTGGTGACATAATAATCTAAGGTTTTTATTTTATTTTATTTTAATTTTTTGTTGGAAAACACAATAATTCAATTAAATCAAGAAAACATGTTTTAACATCCCAGCAGGACAAAGAAATGTCCTACACATTAAATGCATACCCAAAAAATTAAAAAAATAATAATAATAATAATAAAATAAAAAAATTAAAACACAGCCATATCATTTTGAAAAAAAATTATTAGGTATTCATCATGGAGTATCACTTATTTATACTCTTACACTAATTATTATTCATCATGTTTCCTCATATTCGTCAATCATCAACACAAAATTATAATACCACGTATTCTCCACTAATCATAATATCATGGAATACCATGCGACTGTAATTCCGGATTACTCATTTTGAAATCCACCTGTTGATTTAAAGATATTAATTAAAATGGAAATTCAATTGTGTTTATATGCTGCAAAAAGACATGCTGTTTACAGTAATGATATACTAATTTCTTAATTCTGTTATTCTTTTACTTGGGTTTCTTTTTGGGTGACATAATTTTTCACACAGGGCGACCAATCGAAGAAAGTGAAAGAATTGGATAGACTCGTATCTATTCCACATCAGCCCAAGGATCGTACTAGGATAATGACGAAATATTAAAAGCAAAAAAAATAAAATAAAAGAACCAAAATAATGGTATGAATCAAATTATATATCCACTCTTAACCAACGAGCATGGCAAGAATTTTCTATATAGCAATAATTCTATTTAATTAGAAGGTTATGAGAAGAATTTCCAGGAAGTTTAAATGCAAAAGAGGGTTCATTGATATCATCATCAAGAGCATGTTTATGTAATTATATTAATAATGGTTCCTTTCCGAAAGTTGCCTCACAAGAAAGTGTTTTTCATACAAAGCTAGAAGAATATATCCTCTTCGAACCCTTTCAAATTGTTGTTTATTCAATCATACGTGCTCTAATATTGCTTCATATACTTAAAATTTTAACACTGTTTCAGATGTACGAACATTCTAAGCAATGTAGATTATCGCTATGGATGATACACTAGGTGTCAACTTGTTTATAGCACAAGGAGTCATTATCAAGCAAATCACCGTGGACATTTTTTTTTTTCTTATCCAAACAAATATCTTGAGGAACTTTCTTTTATATATTTTTCTTTTTTTTATTTGTTTTTGTTGGTTTAAACAATTCATTCCCACTACTTTCAAATGCACCTATAAATAAGAGGTGATGAAAGCTCAAAGTCCAACATAGATAAGCAAGCATTAGACTCACTTGGCTTTAGTGAAATTTCTCTGTTCTCCGTGCATTGCATTTGTGAAATTTCTCTGTTTCTGAACATCAACACTCTCAAAAATGGATAGAGTTAGAGATTTGGCGTCAAAGAAGGCTGCGGTGATCTTCACCAAGAGCTCATGTTGCATGTGCCATAGCATCGAGGCACTGTTTCGTGAACTTGGTGCAAGCCCGGCAATCCATGAGCTTGACCGCGATGCAAGTGGGCGAGACATGGAGCGTGCGCTGCAAAGACTAGGTTGCCAACCCTCAGTCCCAGCAATTTTTATAGGTGGGCAATTTGTGGGCTCATCAAAAGATATCATATCTCTTCATGTTGAGGGGTCTCTAAAACAAAAGCTCATTGATGCTGGAGCTATATGGCTCTAGTACCCTCAAACCAGCCTACGTTATGTATTTGTGTTCATGTTCGTTTTTGTGTCATGGTCATACTCACTGAGTCCTGATACCATGTTCAAAGTAAGGTGGTATTAAGGGCTCTTTTCTTTTCTTTTCTTTTTTCTTTTTCTAAGTTCGGTGACTATGTTTTATAAGAGCCAGACTGCCACTCTATATGTATGGAATGGCTAATCAAGACTTTACAATTTATGTGACAGCTTGTTTTTTTTCCTTATAAATATTGGAAACTAAAAAAAAATATAAAAAAATATAGATTTTTTTGTTGTTTGCTTAGTTTTGTCATTTTCCCCCCTTACTATCTCAAAAAGATAAAATGCATGGGAGCTTCTATTTGCATACACGTGATTTTTCAATTCGAACCATTCTTCTCGTTCAAATATGATTATTGAATAAAAATTAATTATTCAAATATCAACTACCAAATAAAAACTCATGACTTGGCAATACTTTTGGTTCGTTAGTTGATATTTGAATCATGATTTTTTATATGTTGATAACCAAACCATTAATTTTTGTTTGATAATTGATATTGGAACTAAAAAAATTGTGTCAGCAGTGAAACTCCACAAATGCATGAAAGCTTCTATTTACACAGCATCCATTTTCTCAATTCACATAATTTTTTTCCTTAGAAAAAAAAAAATTTAACTACTAAATAATAATCAATTGTTCAAATATTAACTACCAAACAAAAACTCTATGATGAAAAGTACTACGCCCTCGTTTGGCATATTGGTTCAGTTGGCTTTTCAACTAAAATAGTTATAAAAAGACAAAATAAATTGAAAAACTAATAAAATAAAATGTCACATTCAAATCATAATTATTTATTTTTTCTCTCATAAAAATCAAAAAGTCCAACTCAAACAAGACTTTTTAGCCCCAAATTAAATATTCAGCAAGCCAATCCATTTCCCAAGCAAAGCCCGAGTAAAGTTTTTCTTCAGTAATTAATATATGAATCATATGAATTCTTGTCCGATAGTTAGTATTCAAACGAAAAAATAGTGTGTGAATTAAGATGTTTTGTACTGTGCAGGATGCATGTGCTTAAAATTCCCAAAATAACGTTTGTGATCAAGATGGAATTCTAGAAAAATGTCCCACTAATATATTACAAGAATTAATTGTTAAATTACAAAGAATAAAGTTTCCAAATGCAACACTTTGAATCAATTATCCGACATGTCTCGACAGAGAACTCCATAATTCACAAATTATTCTCTTTTTATCACAAGTGGCAAGTTACCTCTACCAAATTGATCAATAAAATGTTAATCAGTAGTTTTATTCACAATATTATTGCAACTTTTAGAAATTAATTATGAAGCAAAAAGTTTTATTTTATTAATCAAATTAATGTTCTCAACCCACCAACTCTGTCTCCACAAAAAATGGATTCTCTCTTAAAACAAAATATAATCACATAGCCAGATGACTGACTGTTATGAATCCGTAACATCTTCGTAACATCTAATCATATAATCAACATGATAGGGAAAAACAGAAAAGAATAAAAATACGAAAAACCATACGCGTTATGAATATAAGATTTAGGTAATTTATTTTCAAATTAAGATTTCATCCATAAGCATAAATTTCACTTTGTCTCCCTACGGTTTGGATCATATGCAGTTTATTTCCTTAATGTTTGGAAATGACTACATAACTCCCTTATGGTTTCTTTTTTTTTTTTGTTATCAGCAAAAAAAGAAAATTTTATTGATGAAAAAACATACAGAGTATGAGAATGTTAAATATTCCGTCCAACTTAACAGTAAGTGTAAAATACGTTACAAACATAAGGGGGTTATAAGTTCATTTTCAAATTTCAATGGAGTAAATCGCACATAGAATAAAACACAGAGGATTAAAGTGCACTGTGCCTTCCATACAAATGACAAAAATATCTGTAGTTAGCACACTTAAATTACTTATATATGTATATATATGGATATTTTAGTCTTTTTCATTAAATCGTTAACGGGCCAAACAATACACTTCAGTTCACAAATAATAAAGGGGTTATATGGTTATTTTCAAGTGTTAAGGGGAGTAAACTACACATGACCCAAAGTAAAGTGAAGTTTGCTCTAATAAGTTTACACAATAAAGATATAAAAGTAGTCGCCCCTCAACTATATATAAATAAAAAATAAAATAATCCGTCGTAATTGTAGATTACCAAACATACCCACTACAACAAAATGCACCTTTGGCGACTGAAATTTGCAACTAAAAAAAATTTAGTTGCCAAAAGTTATGGAATTGACGACCAACATTTTTTTTAGTCGCCAAAAGTAAAATATTTAGCTACTAATTTTTTTTAGTCGGGCATATTCATTATTGGCGACTAAAAAAAAATTTTGTCGCTAAAAATACCAGAATTGGCGACAAAAAAAAAACTTAGTCACTGTTTATTACTTTTGGCTACTAAAATATTTAGTCGTCGAATGGAAAATAAAAAAATTATTTTCTCTTTGCCAACTAAAGTTTTAGGCACCAAAAACTTACTTTCAGCGACAAAAAAAAATTTAGTCGCCATGTACTGACTTTTGGCTACAAAAATATTTAGTCGCCGAATGGAAAATTAAAAAATTATTTTTTCTCTTTGGCGACTAAAGTTTTAGTCGCCAAAAACTTACTTTCAGCCACAAAAAAAAATTTAGTCACTGTATACTGATTCTTGGCTACTAAAATATTTAGTCGCCGAATGAAAAATAAAAAAAATTATTTTCTCTTTGGCGACTAAAGTTTTCGTCACCAAAAACTTACTTTCAGCAAGAAAAAATTATTTTAGTCGCCTTTAGCTAACTTTTTCCGACTAAAATGTTTAGTCGCCAATTGTAATTAAAATTTTCAAAGAAAGATTTTGAATTTTTGGCGGGCTCCTTACTTAATCAACGACAAAGCTATATTTTAGTCGGGGAAAATAAGTTAAACAAGGATGTAAAATGAATGGCTAAGATCGATCACTTGAAGAACCAACGGACGGAGATCAATACCTCACCAATAAAATATTAGGGTAGGTGAAGAGAAGATGAAGGGAAGGAGTCCCGCTGCGTCGCCATCCCGCCGCCGCTCCTCTTCACGTTCGCTGGCAACCGAAGCACCTCCTCCTCCTCCGCCATCGCCATCGCCATCGCCATCGTGACTGCTGCAATCACCACTGCCACCGCTACCACCTAGGTCGCTGCCCTCTTTTCACACCGCTGCCTGCCCCTCCTCTGCTGATCTTCGCAGATCCATCGCCACCGCCGCGAGATCCAGAGGCTTCATCGCTGAGAAGAGACTCCATTGATGCTTCGTCTCGCGTATGCTTTCTCTCTCTCTCTCTCTCTCTATATATATATATATATGTTTCACTAGCAGATTTTTTTTTAACAAATTATGCAAAACATGACCCTACCATACCAATTTATTTAACAAATTCAATGGGCAGTGATGACTCTAGTGTGGCCTGAAAGATTGGGATTGATTAAAACAACATAATAGAAGAAAAATTGGAAATGTGTTTTTTAAAGTTCCGATATTTTTCTTTAAAGTTTCTGCTATCTGCATAGAATTTTACCAAGGCATGGATGTTAAGCATCCATAATGATGGGATTGTGTTAATTAAAATAGTGTGAGTGAGTTGTTTGATATTTATAATGGAAGATGAACTCGATTACACATATCTACCCTTCAATATAAAACTTTAAAAAAATGACTTTTAGCATTCATCAAATAAGCTTTTCTTAATTGCATAATAGCGAACATAACTTTATTTCTCTGTTTATGGGTTCAATGAAACATATATACATGCTTTATCTCTCTCTCTCTCTCTCTCTCTCTCTATATATATATATATATATGTGTGTGTATGTTTCACTAGCAGCTTAATTGCATTTGCTTTGCTAATTTGTTGATCCACTAGCAGATTTTTACAAATTCTAACATCCCATTCTTGATTAATAAAAAATAAAAACCATTTAGCGTAGGCATGAGATAATATGTTTTTTGGTTTTCCTTGCCTCCCAAATTCTTCTTCAAATCTTTAATCTAATTCTTCCTACAAGTCTTTTATTCAAAAACACTTTAAATATATGCATTAATATGTTAATGCATATTAAATTATGATTAGGATAGGAAAAAGCACATGAAAATAGTAGTTTTATATTCATCTCAAGTATATTGATGAAATATTTGAGTATTCCTCTAAAGTTATAATAATACTTAATTGTGTAAATTACGTTGATATTTTTTATATTTCGGTCCTTATGTCATTTTGATATTTATAATTTCAGTCTTTATAATTTCAATTGGCTCTATTGACTCAGGATTCATGATTTTGTCTCATTGATTAAGTTGTTAGTGTTTTTCGATTGATTAAAATGTAATCGGTGTTATCAATTGGATCAAAATTGACACAAAATTTAAAATTAATGGTCAAAATCGATCTAATTGAAATTACAGATGCTAAAATTACACAATGAGCAAAATGCAAAGATTATAAATATAATTTTTCAAATGAATTTGAAATCATGAGATGAGAATAAAAATTTATGATTGTATAAAAAATAATGGAGATAAAACTTTATTTTAATGAAAAATATTCAATATGTCAGTTAGGACTATATAGTCTATTGTGACTTCCTCTCACTCCTTTTTATCCTTATGTTCTATTTATAAAAGTTGAACATTGCTTAAAGAATATAGTCTATAGGGCTTTTGGGAGAGAAAATTCAAAACAGCCCCCGAACCACCATGTGGCTCTCACGGATAGCTTCTCAATGACAAATAGGACTTGTGACAACTGATGAAATGTAATTCAGACCTGTAGGATGGGAGTTAAAGTCGAATAAGCCCTAAACTTAGTTGAAAAAGGGGTTTCCGGGGATGAAAATTTAAAACAACCCCCGAACTACCGTGTGGCTCACACGGATAGCTTTGCCATGAGATATAGGACTTGTGAGAACTGACGGAACGTAATTTGGACCCGTAGGTTGGGAGTTAGAGTCGAAAACGTCCTAAACTTAGTCGAAAAAGGGCGTTTCAGGGGCAAAAATTCAAAAAAGCCCTCGAACAACCATGTGGCTCACATGGACAGTTCCCCCGTGACAAATAGGATTTGTGAGAACTGACGGAACGTAATTCGGACCCGTAGGTTGGGAATTAGAGCCGAATACGCTCTAAACTTAGTCGAAAAATGGCGTTTCGGGAGTAAAAATTCAAAACA